ATCTATTGTTTATATTGCATCCTTTTTTAATTCTTATGACAAACTTGGTTACCATGGTAGACATTAACCTGATTTTTGAAGGTGTAAAATAGAGAACAGTAAAATCATATCTGGTATCATTTCTGTTCCTGTAGTAACATACCCTGACTAAAAGCACCTTAAGAGAGGAAAAGGTTTATTTGGCTTATAATTCTAAGTTTATAGCCCATCACTGAGGGGAAGTTAAACCAGGAAATCAAGCCACTAGTCACATCACATCCACAATCAAAAACAAAGATGCTTCCTGCTAGCTTGCTCAGATAGCTTTTTTCACTTCTTTTACTGTTCAATACCCATCAGGTGAAATGGTGCTGCTCACATTCAGGGTAGGTCTTCATGCTTCAATTTACAATCAAGACAATCCCTCACAGACGTGCGAGAGGCAAACCTGATTTAGGTAATTCCTCAGTAAGACTCTGTTCCCAGGTGACTAGGTTGTGTCAAGTTGACAATAAAAACTAACCAGCACAAACGTTTTTATGTAGTCATTCAGTTAAACACTATTCTCAGTTCCTAAATCACAAAACTCTCAATATAAAGTTATTATTCCAAGCTTGGTTTTATTTTCTCCACAACAGAAAGTCAGCATGGTACACAATCTAAAATTCATTTCTCAAGCTAGGTGAAGTGGGACATGCCTACAGACCCAGATCTTTGAGGAGCCTTTAAGTCCTGTAGTTAGAGGCCAGCCTGAACACCATAGTCTCCTCTCTCTCTCCCCTCCACTCTCCCCTCCTCTCTCTCCTCTCTCTCTCTGTCACTGTTTTGTCAACAGGTAAAATAACTACAGGTAGCATTGGTTAAATGCAATATTTGCAGTAATAACATTCTACTATCCAAACGTGGCTTTTTATAAACAGCAAAAATTCCCTATAATCTAAGTTAAAAAAACTCATTGGAAGCCAGGATTTCATGGCTTTGTTTTCCCTTTTGGCCGTGCCAGTGGTTCTTTAGTTCCTGCACTGAGCTCCATCGCTAACCTTTATTTTTCTCATTACTCTTGTCACCATTTTTTCCCATTGCTTTCACAACAACAACAGCAATCACAAAGAATCCTAGTGTACCCCCAAGCTAGTTCCAGAATAGTCAGCACTACTGTACACATGATCAAAATTAATACCGGCATCCTTTTGGGTTTTCCAAGAGTAGGATATTTGAAAATTTTTAGCAATAAAAGTGAATATTTTTAATGTGCTATTGTTTTTTTGTAGAATAGTGACTTCAGTTTTCTCTGTAATATCTTTGACAGACAATAAAGATTATGATGCCTACCTGTCATACACCAAAGTGGATCCTGACCAGTGGAATCAAGAGACTGGGGAAGAAGAACGTTTTGCCCTTGAAATCCTACCTGATATGCTTGAAAAGCATTATGGATATAAGTTGTTTATACCAGATAGAGATTTGATCCCAACTGGAAGTGAGTTAATGTCTTCATTTGTATATGTTCTTACATATTGGTGTGTCTGTGTAGTTATCATTTATACATACAATTTTAATTTTTGATTCTTAACTTGAGAAATTGTGTTTTAGTGTCTCAAGTCAAAAATAAATGTGTGTTCTTAAGAAATTTAAATTTTGGTACCCCAGAGAAGACATATTATTATTATATAAATATCTTATTCTATGACCCTTAATGTTTAAAGAACTCAGAGGAGATATTTGCACCTAAAAAAAGTATTTCTAACATTACAGGAACAGAGGCACAAACTTTATCCAAAGTGATCATTCACTGTTTTCATCTTTTCAACATATTAGCCCACCAAAACCTCTGTAATGTGAGAATCTACCAGACTTTTTTCAATCACATGATGAATTCACTTATTTTGATCATTTCTTTTGTCTTTGTAGCATACATTGAAGATGTAGCAAGATGTGTAGATCAAAGCAAGCGGCTGATCATTGTCATGACCCCAAATTATGTAGTTCGAAGGGGCTGGAGCATCTTTGAGCTGGAGACCAGACTTCGAAACATGCTTGTGACTGGAGAAATCAAAGTGATACTGATTGAATGCAGTGAACTCCGAGGCATTATGAACTACCAGGAGGTGGAAGCCCTCAAGCACACCATTAAGCTCCTGACGGTTATTAAATGGCATGGACCAAAATGCAACAAATTGAACTCTAAGTTCTGGAAACGTTTACAGTACGAAATGCCTTTTAAGAGGATAGAACCCATTACACATGAGCAGGCTTTAGATGTCAGTGAGCAGGGGCCTTTCGGGGAGCTGCAGACTGTCTCGGCCATTTCTATGGCTGCGGCCACCTCCACAGCTCTAGCCACTGCCCATCCAGATCTCCGTTCTACTTTTCACAACACGTACCATTCACAAATGCGTCAGAAACACTACTACCGAAGCTATGAGTACGACGTACCTCCTACTGGCACCCTGCCACTTACCTCCATAGGAAATCAGCATACCTACTGTAACATCCCTATGACACTCATCAATGGGCAGCGGCCACAGACAAAGCCCAGCAGGGAGCAGAATCCAGATGAGGCTCACACAAACAGTGCCATCCTGCCATTGTTGCCAAGGGAGACCAGTATATCCAGTGTGATTTGGTGACAGAAAAGCAAGAGACATCCTGTCCCTGGGAGTTTGAAAGGAATCTGCAGTTCAGTGCCTGGAACTAAATCCTCGACTGCTGCTGTTAAAAACATGCATTACAATCTCTAGAACACGAGGAAAAACAGGGTCTTGTACATATGTTTTTTGGAATTTCTTTGTAGCATCAGTGTCTTCCTGTTTTACCGTGTCTTCTTACCATTGCATTTTTTGACTTTGTTTAATATGCCATTGAATTTGTAAATTTACATTTTTTTTTAAAGAAGAGACTGATGTATAGATAGAAACCCCCTTTTTTTGGCTTCACAAATTTAGTTTTAGAATGGGTTTTTAATTTCCTTTTTAAAAATTTTATTTTGCTTTTAACATTTCCTTGGGGTGCTTGGACAAATCTATCTGATGGGACAAGGAGCACCGAATCCTCTCTCAGGTTCTGCCTAGGATCAGCTGGGCCATGTGGGCCTTCAGAGAGTAGTGCAACTGAATGTCAGCATTGCCAATTGTGAACAAAAGAGAGAGAGAGAGAGAGAGAGAGAAAGAGAGAAGAACATTTGTTCATAGGAGGGCACTGCGAGTCAGAGCCCTGAAATCTCTTCCTTGTCCCACCTCACTCCCCACCTCTACCCTTCTAATGGCAGCATGATGTATAAACTCTGCAGCGGGTAAGGGTAGGCCTAACTGTCTTAACATGTAATTTACTGCTCTTCAGAATACACTCTAGACCCAAAGGTGTGCTTGTCACTTAACAGTGACCACTACAGAGTACTAAGAAGAGAAGATCAAGGGCATGAAAATGGGGAGAGTGTTGTTTCCGTTTTTTTTAAATGAGTTGATGTACCCTTATATATATATAAATATAAATATATAAAACAGCAAAACAAAACAAAACAAAACAAAAAAAAGACAAAACCAAAAAAAAAAAGAAAAAAAAATTAAGCCCTATATTTGATCACTTCCTGGAAAGGCATGAATGTGTTTGTGACTGTTTTTGTTTAGTAATCTACTTCCTCTTTTCCCTCTATAATTTTTCTGCAAATGAGATTATGTGCAAATACCAGGCAAGTTAACTCAAAAGGGTGAATCAATGCAAGTAAAAATGAAATTTACATTGAAGGCTTCCAAACCAAAGGGAAGAACAGGATGTGTCATGAAATATGTTTGTCACCTTGTATTATACAAAATGTTATTTTCTAAAGAGTCAAAAAAAAATCTGTGAAACTTATTGTGGGGTCCCCTTGTACTTAAATGTTAACTCTCTTGTATTTGCTTTTCATGGCTACATTCAGAACTTAAGTGGTTTCAGTTTATGAACATAAGCAACATTTATTAATAACAAAGTGTTTAAATAAGATCTCAGGAGGTCAAACATATGAATAACAATATGAATTACTAGTTTCAAAGTAAATATTATTTACACAAAATAGTTTTAAATTAGATCAGAAAGTATTTAAAATAATTTTACTGTACAGAGAATTAATTTAATTTTAACTATATAATTCTGTCTTTCATAAACAGAAATCTGATGCTCCCAAGAAATTTGTCATTTACCATTTAGCTTTCTGTTTGAAATCAATCACACAAGCAGCTAATTCTGTGTCGTGCTAAAAGTGATGCTAAATCAATCCCAAAAGATCCTGTAGAGGGCAGAGTTGCTAAAGGCAAATGTTAACTATGTAGATTTTGGTTCTTTTTTTAAAAAAAAATCAGTGTGACAAACACATTAATTATAGAACATAGATATTACTTTAGCGATTGATTCATTGTAGGAAATTCCATCCCATTCATCAACTGTGGGCTCACATAGTGACTACTTACTGTATGTTTGCTTTATTCCATCCTGGTCATCATTTGCCGGCTCACGTAGTGACTGCTTACTGTAAATTTGCTTTATTCCATCCCGGTCATCATCTGAGGGCTCACTTAGTGACTACTTACTATATGTTCGCTTTATTCCATCCCAGTCATCATCTGTGGGCACATGTAGTGACTACTTACTGTATGTTTGCTTTATTCCTACCACTGAATAATGGGAAAACAATTCTTGAGTTTGAGTCACAATGCTAAGCTATGAATGGGCCACACTGAAATGAAAGGGTAAACTGCAATAGAGTTCATTGGGGAGGGCAAGATAGAACTGTGAACTACGAAGTGGCAGAGACAAATGCAAGCATTTTGCAACAACGCAAAGGTTTCGGTGCCAATGTGACAAGGCAAAGGAGCCTTGTGATGTGCATTGATTTTTATTTGCTTAAAAAATGTTTACTTCCCTGACAACTTGCCTGGGTCCTTCTCTACAATATGTCTTTATTCCTGTGCTCCCCTTGGATCTGTGTCATATTTTCAAAAACCAGAACTGAAGCTGCAAGGACACATGAAACTTTAAGGTCAGCTTTGCACATTGGGTTATTTTCAGAAACCAAGAAGGCCATTGTTTACTTTGTACTATGGACACCTGTCAGGGACTGGTGGCAATATACTTCATTGGACTGGATTCCAAAACCCCAGTACTCAGAAAATTGTAAATGTGGAAGTGGCCTGGTTTATTTCTTTGTTTTTTTAATTTTCAGTTTTTTAAGTGCACGATGGGTGTGTGGGATAAATGTAGAGGAAGTAATCAGACCACAATCATAATTTAGGCATCCATAGGTGTTAATTTAGCTGCATTGGGAGTACATTTTTTGTTCTATTTTTAGTGTAGATTTAAGCACTTTGAATAGCATGATTCAGGGATTGATGGGTAATATTTGATATTCTCACAACGTAAGAAACATTTTTTCTCCAATGCTTTGTTATATTTAAAAATAAAATAAATGCAAAAGAAGCTATCTATGGCTTTAGAAACACATTCCTCCCAAGTATTCCTCTATTAGCTCCATATGAGAACAAATGAAGGAAATTCATGTGTTCACATGCTCTATGTTTAACAGAAGTTCTGTTAGAACTCACAATAAAATGAAAAAAAATGTATTTCCCCTAGTGCTTAGGTTTCATCCTTCTCTTTTTGTTTGTTGGGGTTCTGGGGGATAAGATTATTCTAGCTATAAAAACACATTTGAAAATGTGAATGTGTTAGCCAAGCTGGGGGGAAGAATGGACTTCCAGACTTGGACATGTGTGATGTTGGTATTGCCTGTTTTTCATCTATCGCCGCTTAAGCTCTGAATGATACATTATGGATTCAAAAGTCCATCTGGTTCTCTAGTGTAACCTCAAATTGCTGCTTATGAGCATCCTACTCTTTATTCTGGTGCTCAAATGTTTGATTATTTAATTTGTACACCATTCCTTTGGTCTTCTATGGGCAGAGAAGACATCTGTATGTTGTGTTTCCAGCTGATTTAAGTTTAGGTAAATTCTATGAAATAAATTCAAGATATGATGGGTTAAGAGACCTGAACTTATTCTCCTTCTATAGCTAAGCACCTGAGTTTTCAGTTAACCATTTTGTGATTATTATTTTCTTCATAGTATATGTATTTGGACTCTATCAACTTAATCTTTAAATATGTAGATGCTGGTTTCTTCCATATTTTATTGTTAATAAGTATTTTGTAGCAAGATCAAATATTAACTGAGAGCCCACCCCTAAAATCTGAGTAAGCTTTGTTTATCCTAGAATAGTCATTAACTTTTCAGATACCGTTTATGTAAATCAAGATCACCATTTCTAGGATAACATTTATTTGCAGATTGTGAAATCGTTTCTGATTCTGGAATGGTATCATAGTTCTTTTACAAGTAGTTTTTAATCTTCTGTTTAATTTCTTCCCTTTGTTTTTGTTGTTGTTGTTGTTGTTGTTGTTGTTGTTGTTTTTGAGATAGGGTTCAGGCTAGGGTGGCCTCGGGCTCTCAATCCTCCTGCCTCAGCTTACTGAGTGCTGGAATTACCAGAATGCACAACCAAACCCAGCAATCTCTTCTTCTTCTTCTTCTTCTTCTTTTTTAGTTTTAGTTTACAACATTAGTCCCAGAAGAAAGCTTATTGAAATTCAAAGGATAACATCAATGTCACACAAGTGAAATAGTTGAATTGAACTAAAAGAATGCACATACACAGAAGAGGAAAATGCCTTATTGTCTCCCCTCTGAACTTGCTTGGCCATTAATTTCCTTGTTGATGTAGTTGATGAATAGAGGTAAAATATTGCAAAATAGGTTAGAAACTCCACCTACACACTCATAATCCCTATTGAGGAAAAAACTTTAACTATGGATACAGTTATTATAAAGAAATCACAGTGCAACCGGTCTCTGTAAAAGATCATTTTGTCAATGAAGCTGAGGCTATTATTTGCCTTATGGTGAATCCTTCCTACCTTATTGTTCTGAGCAGAGGAAGCAATGAACACTTAAAATTTCAGTTATCCTTAATAATAGGCCTAAAACCTGAGTTTATGGATAGTTTGGATTTATAAAATAGATTAAAGGAAATAATGAAACGCTTGATTTTCCAGTCTAAATTGATACTGTCTCTACACCTGTTTTCCTGTGTGTGAGTCTCAAGACATCCATCATCCAAAAAGTAATTGATATTTAGATTTAGAGGATATTCTCACTAGCTGATATTCAGATAAACTCACATATCTTGCAGGCATTGTTGAATATATTATCTTTTATTTCATTCATGAAAATTCAGAGATGACTATTGTTCTTCTAACAGAAACAATTCACCTTCCATGGTACATAGTGGAAGAAAGTTTAATGAGGATAAATAATTTATACACATATAAGTGAGCACTGTCTATCATGATTAGGATAGGTTACTCATTTTCATACCCATTTGAAACAGTTGGAATAAAATGCAAAGATCATACAGTTTGGTAACTATGGTTTGTTTCATTAAAAATTTTTTAAATATTTTGTTATTTTTATTTTATTTTTATGAGTGTATTGCCTGCATGTATGTGAGTAGACCTGTGTTGTGCAATGCTGCGGAAGTCAGAAGAGGGCTTCAGATTCCCCTGGAACTGGAGTTAAGGAAGGTTCACAGCCACCATGTGGGTGCTGGGAATCAAACCTGGGTCTTCTGCAAGAGCAGTCAGTGTTCTTAACCACTGAGCCATCTCTCCAGTTTCATTAAAATTTTAATGGTGTTTAAAATCACATTTCCTACCAAAAAGAGTTCATTCATACAGTAGGGAAACAGAAAAAAAAAAACTTATTCAATGTATTTTTCTAAAAGGACCTAGTTTTATTATGCAAATATTTAGAATTTGTTATATAGTTCACTTTCATGAATTACAGTGTGACCTTGGAATAATAGGGACAATTTTTAAAATGAGGTGGCAGTGATTTAAAGTTGCAATTTTTACTTTTGATTGAGAGAAAGGTGAAAGCTAATGCTATACAGGATGAAATACTGTCACATCAGTAGGAGATATAACATCTTACTGTCCTTGAATGAAGTAAGAGGAAGAAGGGAGTTAATTCTAATCCTAATAAGATGTGCCTTGTCATGGTCATAGAAAATGCCTTGATGAGAAAGAAAGAAATCAACTTCAATTTCCATTGAGCATCAATTCTTCCTTCCATGCTTTGAACACAAAATGCCTATCCATTACAGATAGGTAAGACATGCATATATGCTTATAAAATATATGTGGTTTTATAAGTATATATGTAGTGTGTATGTCTAAACTCCTTCTGCTCATTAGTAAATTTTCCTCTAAATAGCCTCTGGGTCCATTGACAAACTCAGGCCTTTGAATCCCTCATTAAAATAAGTGAAATAAGTTACTATTATTTTTTTTCTACCACTTACTACCTTCATTGATGCATCCCCCAGGGTCCACAAATTTGAGAAACAACACTTTCTGACAAAAGCAAGTGCTCTAAAAAAATCATTGCCCTGTGTTCCCTCTACGACTAAATAATAACCTCAGAAAAACTGCCCATGAACTTCAGACTATTACATGTAATATCAGTGTTGTGTAAATTTCAATCTTCATAATCTAAATGTTACCTTTCAAAAGGCATGCTGTGTCATTTAAAAAGATTTAATGTGAAATGACATTACTACATAGTGCATGAATATATGGCAAAGTAATATGGCTCTATCTTTACTAGTCAATGAGAGTTTGAATTGGGAAGATCAGATGTGTTTTCTGTTAATGTTCAACTGAGAGGAAGGCATCTCAATGTTAGGATACATGGGCAGTTGTCCATACTTGTTGCAGTATAAGCTCCTGTTAACTAGAACCTTAGTGTATTCGTTCCACCAAAGTAGTGGAGATATGTTTATATAATCTGCTATTTAATTACAACAACTTTTACATTTTCAGAGGTTGAGGGAACCCAAGTAAGAATGTGGATG